AATAAGGTTGAGATGTCTTCATGTACTTTGCTTGTTGGCAAGAAAATGGCTCCTCATCCCAGCATGTGATCCTTATTTGAAGAGAGATTACCGTATTGTCCTGGTCAAATGAGAGCAGTGGCTGTGGAGCGTTATATACGGAAATAGCAGCTGGTCATCCTAAATAGTTGTGTGTACATATTGGCGAGAGAGAAAATGAATTAAAAAAACAGTACCTTTTTCCATCAGTGTTGAAGCAACTATGGAAAACTGCCAACCCTTACCAACACCAAGATGTACCCAAGACAACAGGAACGTGTCAGAAGGAAAGCAATTAACGCTATCTTTAAATAAACCTATATAGAGCTTTTGTCATGTCAAATTTCTTGACAAAGAACAAGGGCAGTAAACAAGAACACTGTTGTGGGGTTTTTTCTTCCACACTTTCTGTACTAGGCATTAGGAAAACACCAAGTTCTGTTTGAACAGAAGTCATGTTACCTGTTTTTAAATATGCTGTCAAGTTATGCATCTGTCAGAAATGCAGACACCAAGGGGTTTTTACTGGTCAGATGTTTTTAAATAACATGTTTGATTAAAGGTGCTGATATCGTTGGCGCAGAGATTTTTTTTCTTCTGTCAGTTTCTACCTGAGATCATGAATCGTCAGTTATTTCTGACTGGTATTACAGGTCCTAGAGATTGTTTCTCTGAGTAGGAACTTCTCTTGCCAGGTTCTTTCTGAAGTGACAGAAAAAGTGGAAATTTGGTGTCTGTCACAGATTGCATTTTGATTCCTTCTGAGAGGAACTCAGAAAAAAACACACTGCGAACAACCTGTTTTCACTCTAAACCTTACAGAAAGCAAACTGCAACAGGATGGCTAAATTTGGCAGAATCCTTCATCCCCTCCACTTTCCTGGGGCTTTGAGTTGCACAGGTCAGCACCGCCTCTGCCTTCTAGCCACGGGAGCTGTAGAGGTGGCTGGTGCTTCAGGTGAGGCCCTGCAAGGACAGCCAGGCTGGCTCACTGTCGGCAAGCTCTAGCCATAGCCAGGGTGCTGCTTCCAGGAAGAAACCTGTAAACCTAGCACCTCTATCAAGAGCTGCCTGTTCTCCCTCCTCCTGCCTTTCACATGTAGAGAAGAAGTGGGAGATTTCATCCCCAGAAATTTTTAGGCAAAATCAGAACAGAGGTTTGAGTGTGAAAACGGTGCTGGAGGCCTGGCATTTTTTTTAGACTCTTCCAAGCCTTTTGCCTACGCTTGTCAAGAATCCGCCCGCAGGTTTTTCTTCTGCAGAAGGAGATAGCGTCGTATGAGAAAGGGTTGTGTTGCAATGCCACCACTGAATTTGGCAACCTCAGCTCTGAAGCCAAAACTTAGAACTTACAGGAAATTTATTAAAAAGCAAATAAGCATCAATGTTTTATTTTCTAAATCTCAAGTATTCAGTTAATCTTTGTATTGGAGCATCTGCCTTGTGTAGAATCAAAGCCGTAGCGCTGAAACTGCCCAGCTTGTGTGAGTTTATTTCACAGATTCCAGTAAAGTCTTTTTTTTTTTTCCCCAGCAAACAGCCTGTGGAGCTCTAAGCCCAGTATCTTGTGGGCCCTAAATGTCTGTGGTTTCAAGAAGCAAACAGACAGATTCATAGATGAATAATATATCTGTTAGTTGGGGAAGCCACACTGTTGGCTCAGTAAGTCTGTGAGCTGCAAGCTGTTGAAGACAGGGAGAGTATTTATGGGAGTTACTACTGTGTGCTTTCCCTGTTCCTTACTTTCACACATGTTCATCTTCACCTAGTTTCAGACAACATGCTAATTAGACAGACCTTTGATCTGACTCTTACAATTGTGATATTACTGACTTTTGCATTGTGGTGTTTGCATAATGGTTGGGGGGGTGGGGGTGGGTTTTGGTTTTTTTTTTTAATAAAGCAGTTTCTCCAAGTGTTTTTACTCCCATAGCACCAGGTCATTGAATTAATCAGTGTTGATTATTCTGGCATCATGCTACTTTATCTGTGACAGAGGGAAGAATGAAGTTGTGGATGACCTGCATCCAGTTACATAATGGATCCTGCCTGTCTGTTTCTCTTGTCACATGATGCAGATGTTGATACATCTGGCTCCAGGGGTGCACCTTGGTCTCGTACCAGGAGAGGTTGCAGCGTTTTAATATTCAATAAATAGCTTTTCTAACATGAGAAGGAATAAAAAGCTGTGTGGGCTATACAGTTTTCTGTGTATTGCTTGCCCAGCACAGTGCTGTCTGGATTTTTCAAGAAAACAAATGCATTGCCACATAGTTCTGATGATTGAAACTCTGATATTTCATCAAGGTAGCAGTTCTAAGTACTTCAAAATATGTTTCAAGGGTACGCTGCAATCTTAGCCTATGTTGTTTATTTCACAATTTAGGGTTTGCTGCTTTATATTAGTGACAGCACTTGCATCAGCTCGTTCAGTACTCACCGTAGCGTGGTCTAAACGACACATCACAAGTTGATTCTCTTTCCTTGCCTCGAAGCAAGCCTTGGGGTTTTTTGTTGGTTGGTTGGTTTTCTTCACTATTTCAGGTTACTGCTTAGTGCTAATAATGCTGCTGTTGTAATGTGGTAAAGGTTTGGAAGTGTCTTGACGTGAAGAGGCATAGCTATGGAGCCTCTAGCAAGGAAATAGTTCTGTAGGTGGAGGCATTAATGATGTGACAAAGCATAGTAGGAAAGCTACAGAGGCAACAGAGTTCTCTTTTCAGAGAATTCTAACTGCTGTGAACACCTGCAGTTCAACCAGTTTAAAATTTCATCAAGTACAGACAAACTAGCATGAGATCAGCTGCCTGTCTAAAAGGCATGTGATACGCAGAAGTTACAGGTTTGCTACAGAGATCATTGGATATTTTGGTTTATGTTATTGCTGAAGGTGATTGGTGATTGTGCCTTGTATTTTTGGAGTCCACTCAATCACTTTACAAGTAGTGACAAGATAAGTGTCTTAAACATTAGGGTTTTCTAATTTGAATTTCCTAAACTTGCTCTTGTTTTGTGTATGTTGTTTCTTCCAGGACAACAGGGTACATATTGGGCCAAAAATGGAAATTCGGGTTGTCACTCTAGGATTAGATGGAGCTGGCAAAACAACTATTTTGTTTAAGTTAAAGCAAGATGAATTCATGCAGCCTATTCCAACAATAGGTTAGTAGCAACAATTTAAATGTAATTATTTTTCTGAATGTTTGACTTATCTGTAGAATTTTATTATTTTATATTCATACAGAACAAGACTATAAAACTTTAATATGTTTATTCTAGGTTTTAATGTTGAAACAGTAGAATACAAGAATTTGAAGTTTACTATTTGGGATGTAGGAGGGAAGCATAAATTGAGGCCCTTGTGGAAACATTATTATCTCAATACACAAGGTGAGTCTAACACAATTTTTAAACTGTATTTTGTCTTCTAGCTTGTATTTCAGAGCCAAAAATATTATGAACAGAAATAGTTTATAACTGTAGAAAATTGTTCACCTAGTGCAAAGTACAGCTGCTGGATTTGTGAGCTAAGAAATTTTAATCCAGTTGGTCATAGTGTCTGCCGCATGATGAAGGTGCATTCTCCATAAATCCATCAGACAGTTCACGGAGCCAGACAAAATTAGAATCTCTGTTAAACTGGTTCTAGCTGACAGCAGACAAGATGCAGCATCCCAAAGTTTACACAGTGAGAAGTAGTACGTGCCAGGTATGGAGTTCAGACAGCACTTGAAATGAAAATACTCAGCCTTTAGGAGCCTTTAGTTGGCAATTTAAAAAATTCTACAAAGTTCTATAACTTCTGACTTGGTATTGCAGTGTAATATCTGGTCATAGACTAGATTACTGATTCTGAAAGTATTGAACTAAATGCTGCCGACTCAAAAGTTCACGCTGTCCATCTATAATTCTGCCATCGTTTTCCAGTTTAGAAAGGGGTTCCTCTTCATTAATTCTTTCAGAATTAGCTGAAATAGTTAGCCCTGACATCAGTTTATGTACTCCACTTTGTGCATCATTTCAGCCTTCATTGCAAACTTAAAACATCTCAAGTTGTTCAACTTTTCAGACTTTCAAGAATTGTATTTCGGGATTTCTGTTGTACTCTTAAAACTTAGCATGTAAACACTAGTAGGATGGAATCATTTCTGCCTTGAAGACTTGTATGTTGGAGAGGAAGTTTAAGCAGTTAACTTGGTGCATACCTGCAGTAAACTTTTTTTAGTTTTGATGTTGGGGTTTTTTTCATTGCAAAAACCATGAGTTTAAATTCTGTCCTCTAGATCATCTGCCACCTTGGTGCTCCAGTCTTCCTGTCACCTTGGTTACTCTCTGTTGTGGATAGTAAAATCTAGTGCTGCTGAGTCAGGTCCATGACATTCTACCCTGCATTCTGTAGTCTGTAGCTGAAGAAAGCCGTACCGATTTGGCTGAACCCTGTAGATTTTACAGCCGGTTAAGGGAAACTGGAACAGTTGTATGGGAGCTGATTGAGTATAAATGTATCAAGAAATTATTTGAACTGAGGTACTCAATCCACACATAGTAAATCTGGTTTTACGCCTAAGTAGTTAAAATATCACAGCCTTATGTTAGACTAGGTGAAAAACCTCAGGGTTTTTTTTTCCCCTGTTTTAGGATGAATTCTATTTTTTTGCCAAAAGGTGTGGTAAGGCATTCCTCAGTCCTGCTGGATTTCAAATTAAAGTTGGTCGCTGCTGAGAAACCTCTGTCGTGGTTTAACTCCGGC